CCATCGGCAGGACGCAACAGCTACCCAAGCCCATGACATACCGCGATGGAACCCATTCACTGCTCAAGCGGGGGCTGGTTTGCGACCAACGTTGTCGCAAGAGACAACACCGCAACCCACCCCAACGGGCCTCGCGCCGCCTGGAGGACTGGCGCCGGCGATCTCGCAGACCGAAGCTAGCGCAAGGCGTGTATCCGCCGTCACCGCCGAAGCCGAGGGGGAGACAGGCTACACTTACGCCGAGGAGATACGGATTGTCGTACAGCCCAGTCAAGACCGACTGGTGAAAAGAAAGCTCAGGGGTATCCACCTTTTTGTAAGTTCCTGTTTGCAGCGCTTGCATATCTTGATCGTTCCAGAAACATTCTGCGCCGCATTGGGGGCCGATCCGTCCGATGACGTGCATCGTCGAGCGCCACACCCGTGTCGAGTTTGTTACTCACCTACATTTAGATGATCACGATCAACGCTACCCTCGGGACTGGTCTCTACTGGCGTGGCGGGCAAATTCTTGAGCTGGGAGGGCCATTAGCGGTTTTGTTGGCCTTCCTCATCGTGGGAATACTTGCTTGGGCTGTGATGCAATGCATTACGGAACTCCTCTGCATCTGGCCTGTGCCAGGTGCCATGTCAGTCTATGTTAGCGAGTTTGTGGACACTGAGCTGGGCATCGCTGTTGGTGTGGCATACTGGTAGGTTGCGTCCCCTACCCAGGGATCTTGGGATGTGGAAGGCTTATTTCTGGCAGGTTCACCTACTCGGTGTCGTTCGCGGCTCTTATAGCTACCACAGCTGCGCTGCTTGACTTTTGGCCTGGGATCAAAGACAACAGGGCGATCGATGGTGGGATTACGTATTTTCTCATTCCTCTTGTCTTGGTTGGGACGAACGCATTTGGGATTCAGGTGAGATAGAGACTCTGCCCTTGATTTAGCACGACCTGACACCGCTTCCCCTCAGACATACGGATGGATCGAAGTTTTCTTTGGGAGCCTGAAGATTACGATGCTGATAATCATCATGATTACGTTGATTGTGATCAAAGGAAAGGGCAGGTTGGAGACACGCCTATTCAGTTGGGAGGTTTTGCTGACCAACACAGCCGTAAACAGCTCAAGAGGAGACATGACGGGAGAGTGTGAGTCTTCGTGTTCCGGCCTACCTCCGGGCGCCCCAGAATGCTAACTAAAACGAATTAGACTGGGGAGATGCCACTGCATTTGACACTGTCGCGGCGAAGGATTGGGGAACGGCGTTGATGTGAGCCATGCGGCCTAACATGGAAGGGAAGAGGAAGGGAGGCTAACTATGCCCAGGATGTGTCTATCCTTCGCCACATTTGCGTACGTCGGTGTGGAGATCATCGCAGCTTCGGCTCTTGAGGCAAAGTGGCCCAAGAGACGCACAGCTGAAGACCGCGTCGACTCAGACATCTCGCGGCGATCGAACGACACACTCATCGGCTCCTCGGTCAAGTTCTCGGCAATCTACATCTCAGTCCTGGCCACCATTGCTTACAGCGTCAGCGGCGCCTTGGTCTCGCTAGATATCTCCAGGGCGGATTGTCAGCTTCCTCGCCTCAGTTGGCTGACGGAAGAAGCTGACAACTGCAGCGTCGCTCAGGACCAACATTCCGAAACAAGCACCGCGTCAGCATTTGTTATCATCGCTCAGCAGTCAGGGACACCGCATCTTGCAGATATCTTCAACGTATTTCTTATCTTTACCGCTTTGACCTGCGCCAACACGAACCTCTACGTCGCTTCTAGGACACTGTTCGGCTTGACGAGTAGGTTGGAGGGGGGAAAGGGTCAGCCTTGGCTACTGAGGATTTTAGCTTGGTTTGGGAGGACGAATCACCGAAAGGTGCCGATGAGGGCGATGGTGTTTTCGGCTATCGCGTTCTGGTGGGTGCCGTTTTTGCAGCTGAAGGAGGGAATCGGTCCGGATACTGCGATTGGGATGGTGGGTCTTTTTTCATTCGCGCTTGGCAAAAGCGGATTCTGACAGTGGTAGTTCATCGAAGTGTTGGCTGAAATGGGCTCGGTTGGAGTCTTGATCGTCTGGGCATGCCAGTGTCTGGCGTTCATACGATACTACCACTGGTAAGCCCCTGTCTCTGAGATTGGCGGACTCGAACTAATAGGTGGCTGCTCAGCATCTACCGCCACCGAGTGGTCCTCGAAGCTCAAAGGATTGCCCAAGTTCGGCGGTGGGACAAGGGCGACTGGAAGGACTACCCCTATCGAAGCCACGGTCAGCCGTTCGTCGCGTACTTAGCGCTGGTGGGATGTGTTGCCGTTATGTTCGTTGCGAACGGTGCTGCGCTTTGGAGCGGTTTCCACGTCCTTCCGTTTCTTTCATCGTATCTCATTGTAAGGGTCTTTATCCCATTCCCTGCGAGTTTACTGACACAGGTACGTAGGTTATGGTCTTCTTTGGCCTCTGGGTGCTGCTGAAGTTATTCAGGGGCGCCAAGTGGTCACTTGTTGACTTATCGAAGCCGAGTCACGTTGTGAAGAAGTTCAAGGACTTACATGACATTCGGCTTGGGGCGTCGTGACCTAATTGGTCGAGCGCAATGGAGTCACTCCCAGGGGCGCAGCCGTGGACATGGGGCGCAGCAGGTGAAACCTGGGTAAGGGGCCCATGCAAAAGCGGGTAAGTGTTACTTCCCCGCACACTCATCCTAAAAGCGCCTCGTCGCGTCTCGGGTTTCGGAACTGGACACGTTCTGGGCGACATAAGAACAGCCTCGCCTACGAGGTAGAGGTCTCGAATTTGGGGACGTCTGATTCATCATGCGCCTGATAAACACCACAACCTATGACTTCGAAGAGTTCATCGGATCCCTATTTCCGCAATACGCCATTCTTTCGCACACTTGGAGAGAGGATGAACTCACATTCAGCATCTGGGCTGATAGTCAACGGCGAGTGGATTATGCCTGTGCTCAAGGGTACGCCAAGATCTGGGAGGCTTGCAAGGTAGCGGCTGAATACTCGCTGGACTACATTTGGATCGACACCGTCTGCATCAACAAGGAAAGCTCCGCAGAGCTGAGCGAGGCCATCAACTCCATGTTCGCCTGGTATCAACGCGCGGAAATATGTTTTGCTTGGTTGGACGACTTCACAGGACCGGAACGCCTGCATCCTGCATCTTTTGCTCGCGCTCGATGGTTTTCTCGTGGTTGGACGCTTCAAGAGCTCCTAGCCCCGGAGACAGTCATATTTCTGGATGCAAACTGGGTCTCAATCGGGACGAAGAAGAAGCTGTCAAGGACATTGAGCACCGTCACCGGCATCGAAGACAGTTACTTGAACGAACCAAAGTCAATTTTCACAGCACCCGTTGCTCGGCGAATGTCGTGGGCAGCTAACAGAACCACCTCTCGAGAAGAAGACATGGCATACTGCCTCCTTGGCATCTTTCAGATCAACATGCCTCTGCTTTATGGAGAAGGCAAGAGAGCATTCGTCCGTCTTCAAGAGGAGATCATCGCCCATTCGAATGATCACAGCATATTCTGTTGGTCATGGCACGCCGAGTGTGGACTCAGCGAGTATCCTGAGTGGTACGGCTGCTTGGCACCATCGCCTAGCACCTTTCGCGGTAGCAAAGACTTTGAGGAAGATCGATACCAAGCCCGGATCAGCGCTAGGGAAGAACCCGACCACGCCAATTACCAGCTGACCAACAATGGCCTCCGCATAAACCTTCTCGTTCTCGAATGCATGCAGCCAGACTTCAAGTTGATCGTTTTCAACGTCAAAGATACACAGTGTCACAAGCCATCCCTCCTAGCTATTTGCGTTCAACCCAGTCAGGGACCGTGGCACTTGGCTCGATCGAGGTTCCCGAACAGTTTGATGAGAATCCCGGCGGAGTGGGTAGACGGGCAGAACCCGAGAAAGATGTACCTCTACCATCAACGAGATCCAGGGGGGAGGTATGACGGGAGGGGTGAAATTATCCAGCATGTAAGTTTAACCCTGAGTATCCCCCGACAGAGACACCTTTCGCGAACAGGCTTGCTAACCGACCGAACAAGCTTCGGGTTCCGCCGTTGAATTTATCAAAGTACGGAGTCATACCCGTATACTCAGCAACGTACACTCGCTTCCTATGGGGCGAAAGAGGAAGGATCTCGATCTGGCCCGCATCCACAACTATGGACCCACCAGGAATATGGGGTCCCGTCCACCTTCTTCGCGTCACCAAGGAGACGAAAGAAGAGGTTATTGCCCGCGGCAGGGCCTTCGAACTTACTAACAGCATTCCCAGTGTCCAACTACCCTTCCAGATGCACTGGGAATGTCACAGATGGACGGTGAGAACCGATCTTAAGTTCAAGCCCAGAGCCTCCAAAGACCCCCCGGAGACAAGATGGAACGTTGCAGACCTTTGGAAGCTCAGGCTTGACATGTCCATTAGCGAGGACTTTGAGTTTGAGCTAGACGCCAGCGGGGATACGCCCAACGTCGCTGTTCGGCCTGTGATGTTGAGCCCGTATGAACAGGATCTGTACCCGTTTGACATACGGGAAGCGTCGAACATTAACAAGTCACGGGCTGTGCCTGTTGGCAAGATGACGCGAGCCCTGGACGAACTGAGCTTGCGCGGGATTAAGAGGAACGTTGAAGTGGCCAACAGACTTACTTACAACGAAAGTTCTGGAGAGAGTGGTGGGGATGCTGAGACTGGGTCTCCTGCTGGCGCGTGATGGGTTTAGGACATTGGCTCAGTACACATTAACCAACGACCACTTTCTCCGCCATTCCTCTGCAACTGAAGTTTTACCTGCTAGAAAGGGGAACATGCGGAGCCTTGCCCTTTGTGGCTGTCTCCTGACCGAAGCGGATTGTCAGGGGACAGAGTCAGGCCTTGAACCACAGCCCCTGACTCGGTGTTTGACCAGATCCGCTCGCAAGACAAAAAGAGACCGATCAGGCAGTCCATGTCGAACATTAAAACCCCGGGGTGCAAAAAGTTGCAATCGACCCCACTGGGGATCGAACCCAGAATCTTTACCATCAGTGTCAACCGGAAAGTAACGCCTTGCCATTAGGCCATGGAGCCATATCATTTTGATGTTTGGTTGGGTGGAAATTTTGACTCAGCAACACAGCACTCCGGAAGCATCGCCGGCATGTGGCATGCGCCTAAACTTACACCTCTGGGATCCCGTCTGTCGGGTGTGGCGCGCAACGTTGGAAAGGTTGCCCGTGTTCTCAACGGCGGGGAACGGGATAAGCTTTTTTTTTTTTATTTTTTTTTTTACCATACTTTCGTCGCTGATAATTTTGGTGTGTCCCTAAAAAATTCTCTACTCGCATCCAACCTTTCTTCACAGACGTCACCGCTATCTTTTGACCCCTTCCTCAACTTCTCTGCTAGCACGCAACTTTTCCCTCAAACGTCTTCAACACGACGGAGCCATGCCGTCACGATTCTATGGCTCGACAAAGAAGGTGCACGCCAAACACATGGAGGTTGATCTGGAGGACCCATACAGACGGTTTGTCAGTGGCAGTGCCGCCGCTGTTGAGTTTAAGATCAACGATATCACCCACCATCAATGGTGCGACCTCGTGGGCGGTAGGTCTAACGATTTACCCAACCCAGAATGCCTTCAATAGGGCTAGCTAACACGTTTCCAGAGATGATAAAACACACTAGGGCCTTCCCCGCGCGCGATGGAAGATGTCCAGTGTGCACTCCTGTCCGAAAACTACTAGGAGATGTACCGACCGACCAAGACAGCAAACGAAAGAGACGAGAGGAAGATAGCACATGCCCAAACCGACCCCCACTGCCGCGCTTCGACGAAAACATCAAGTTCTTGAGACGGCGAGCATACGAAGATATGCCCACTTGGGCCACGGGTCCCGCCGACTTTGACGCGGAGGCAGAACCAACCGTCTTCAAATTCTTTCTCAACTTCCCTAGAGAGATACAGGACATGATTTACGAGGCATCAGTAACGCCTGTCGAAATCCACATGTTGAGAGCCGCCTATGACCCAGACAGATACTGGCAAGTGGCCACCCCCCGCAAGTGGCAAGACCTCCCGCTGTACCACGTCTGCCGACGCTCTCGAGCGCGCATGGTCGCCCTCTTTGGACAACCGTGCAAACTGACCGACGGCATCCCCATCGACCCCGTCCACGACGCCCTGAGTTACTCCGTCCTGCGACAACCCGCCATCACCACCCCTTGGATTCGCATGCGGAACGAGGCCTTTGTCACCAAGCACATCAGCCTCGCCCGCCGAATGAAAATCACCCTCTGCCACGACCACACCGGGTACTACTCCCTAGCAAACTACCTCAACCAGGTCAGTTCCATGATGAATCAGGTGTTCCAGGGCAGCACCACCTTCGAACTGCGCCACCTCACTATCGAAATGGACCGATACACGAGCTGCGCAGCTGCGCGATACGCCGAAACCCAAGGTCGACGAAAGAGGAAAATGGCCTTTCGCAGCAGACAGTTACACCTCTTCACGCAATTCCTCTTGTGGATGACGCACTACAACCCCCGCCTCGAAACCTTTGAGCCGGCCTTTGGGAAGCTGGAGACAATCTGCCTTTCCAGACCGGAGAGCGGATACCACGGGAGTGATATCCTCTGCTCTGCTGTGGGGGCTAATGGGGTGTATGGGGGTGAGATTTATGGGGGTGAGATCTATGGGGGTGAGTGGTGTGTTGCGGACCCGGAAGAGGTTGATCGGATTGTGGAGGACTTTAAGGCGAGGTTTACGTTTGCTGCGTGGGATGATAGCCGAGATGAGAAGAGGCTGGGCCCTTTGGGGAGGATGCGGAGGAACCAGAAGCTGTTGAGGGAGTGTGGGATGGAGCGTGTGGAGTGGAGCCCTGAGGGGTGAGGTGAGAAGGACGAAGGGAGGACCAGGTGCGGAGGAAGGGTTTTGTCTAGCCAGCGTTGAGTGGCTTATTGAGATTGGGAAGAGAGGCATCGATTAATGTTAAGTAATCAGGTGTCCCTCCAACATTGATAAGGCCCTAAGTCTTTTTGGTGTTTTTAAGATGTTAAATAAAGTTGCTCCTAGAATCCAGCTGATTCCGGCCCATGTTGACTGTAGGTAATTTGCTATTACGCGTAGCCTGTTTCCGCACGAGCAAATGGAACTCTTCTTCCCCAAAAGCCTCTGCCATTTTCCCCTCGAGGCCGGCGGTAGTTTCAGGTGGCAATGCGGTGCGGACCGGTCTCGCTGGAAGACCTCCGTGTTAGTCGACATTGGAGAGCCAATGCCTGAATCGAAATGTTCGACTAGCCCGCCGTTGACATGCCGTATATTCTACCACGCGTCAAGTGTGGGCCGTATTTTTACAAAGGACAACAAAGGAGGCTTCATGCTGTTCATCTCTTGCATTGAATTGCATTCTGTGACGCTTTTATTCTTTTGTTGAACCTGAAGTCGAAAGGGTTCCGGGGCGCGGGCCCACTCGGTGGGCTGAACGGGGCTCCGCACAGTGTCGGCGATGCTCGGGACTGGCGCCGGCAAGGCCTGCGTTGCAATTTTTTGTGGCCTGCAGCCATAAACCCAAAACCCAAAATCCAAAAAGGCAAGGCCTGCGACGCGATGTGACGAGAGGTACATCTTCGCCCCTGCCAGTTTTCCCTCCCTCAACCTTTCCCTCCAGACAACATTTTCGCAACGAAACACATCGCGTCTGCGATTATTGTCTTTGGCTATCCAGAATAGCACCGGTTGATTGTGTCTCACATTGGGCTCGCCCTTTGTGCTCAACCCTTTGCTTCACTTCTCCTGGCCTTTTGGCAACTTCTTGGTCGGATTCTTGCAGCCATGGAGTGAGTGCGCCCATTCATCTTCTGCCACGACATCACCAACCGCCACGAAGTTGGAGATGCTAACATCTCGTGCAGCTCTGCTGTCTTCATCTCGGCGCTGGCCGTTCGCGCGGCTACAGCCGCCCACAGTTTGGTCGAATATTCCACTGAAGCGCATGACGGCGAACTTTCTTCCCAGTCCTGGCCCCTAATGCCCCTCCTTCCCCAACTGCGCCTGGACGCCGAACTGGCCGCAATAATTTCTCAAACCCCAAGGAAATGAGCCCTAATATCTGCTTCAGAAGTCCAGCCTGAGGTTCAACCCAAGCCGCGTCTCGGGGTCTATGAGCGATTTGTCAGAGCTCTCTCTGGTGGTGATTTGGACGAAACCACAGAGCCGATTGATGTTTCGTTCTCCGGTCGAGTCAGGGCTCGCCTCGCGGGTTTCATGCCCAAGACCAAGAAAGCGGCCGCCGATTCGAACACCATCAGCCTCTCCAAGTCCCACACTTCTTACGCAAAGAGCGTTGGCGCCTTGACGACTATCGGCTCTTCCAGTTCGGGTTCCGATCTACCCGCTACTCCGATTACCTTGGAGGACAACACCGTCGATATCCTAGACATCGACGGCACCCACCTGAACTTTGGTCTAACCACCTACAGAGAGCAGGAGCTGCCTCTCTTCGCCACCCTTTGGGACATGGTCGACACTGGCCACTACCCTACCATCGACACAGTCCTTTATTGAACAGTTGACATGACGCCAGATCCTTCGGATGATAGCGTGTCAGAGAGCGATTGCACAACAGAGCTTGACGATGAGGACGACGCAAACAGTACAGGAGAGGATGTTACCAACAACGACTGGAACGAGAGAACCCCTTTGGATGACATCCGCGCGGTCCAGGCTAGCCACGCCCGCTACCCCTCAAGCCCCTCGCACTCCTTAGACTCCGAGTGTTCAGACCAGGAACCTTCCTCAGACTCGGGACCCTTGGACTCGGGCTCCTCAGACCTCGAAGAACAGGACGAGCGAGAGCCCCAGCAACACGGTTCGGAGTCAGACGATGAGGCTGATATCCCGGTCTAGGAAATCGTGGCAACATTCGAAATCCCAAGCATTGACAGCATGGTATGGGGCCTTGCAAACTTTCCTGGATCTTGCCAGAGACTCATGAACACATTCGTAATGTGACTACTGCGGAGCTGAGCACCTTTGAGAGCATATATCCTGCCTGGCACACAGCACAATATGAGGAATTTGTTACACCTCCTTTGGAGTACACTAGTGCCCCTACAAACGCCCCAGAAGCCACGAGTTCGATCGACTACCAGCACCTCCTGACGCAGTCGGCTTATGAAATCTCTGCTGAGACAGAGTACGAGTTCAACGCAAAGGCTGCAGCTCTCTAATTCAAATGGCAGAGAGCTCACCAGAGGGAGCGATTCAGCTTCACCCTGGAGGCATGCATGTGGAAAATGCTGCCATGTCCCAACCCAGCTGTTTACGGCAGCATCGGTTCCGCAGCCATGATGTTTACGGCCCAGGGCAGACCTATCTGGCTCGTGCTACCCCCGATCGTTGTTACCACACTGGCGGGTGACCACTTCCAAGTATACGACGTCAACGATTCTAGCAGCTCGGAGTTGTTGAACTAGGTGGACAATGAGTCTGATTCCGAGTCGGAGAGCGCTCGGGGAGGGTGAATGAGGTGGTGTGGGCGGAGAGAACCTGGGATTGGCTCTGCCATTAGCTTCTAGGGACTGATGGGAATGTGACGAGTGTTTGAGGTATCTGCTGGGGCTTCATGTTGGCAGGCAGGAGTTGCTCATTGCTGCTGCAAGGGTAACACAGCCACGAGAATCCAGGGAAGGGGGATCAGCCCTATTCGCCAAGCGTGTACAAGTAGTATCTCGTGAGAATGACAACCCTGGTTGCTTGGACTCATCATGCGGTGACTGGTTGTCTGTGTCAAATCGTTTGCCTTTTGCTTTCTACCTCGAAATGTCGTCATTGGGGACTGCAGTGAGAACCACCGCCACCCAGCACAAAACAGGGTGTTTCCTTTGCTTGCTTGATGGGCGCAGTGTGCTACTAACACCAAGCAGGTAACTGGTCGTTGTTGCCATGTAAACAAAGGATGGACAATGCCTCGACGTCTTCTTCCATGGACCACCGTTACAAAGCATCTCTTCCTCACCAGCCTTCGAGTTTGACAATGCCCTTGTTCCACGTTGAGACAGCCCCGAAACTCTTGAAAAAAACG